GCGAGAGCGTCTGATGCAACCGCGCCCCGCGTGGACCCCGCGCCCGCCCCGCGCGTCCTGGCCGGGAGCGCGGCGCCGCCAACTTTCCGCCGCTCGGGCGCGGCGTGGGGTCGCAGAGTCGGTTACAAAGTAGGGGAGTCACAGGTGAGTTCCCGGGCCCCGGGGGTGGAGGATGCGTTCGAAAGGACGTTTCCCTGCCACGGGCGCCTTGGGGATGCGGAGAAAAGCCCGAGCGTGCCGCGCGGGGTGGATGTGCGTTACTGTTGCTCAACTTTCTCTGCGCCGATGTTTAAAAGGCCGGGCCGGAAGACTGCCGGGGAATGCTGAATCAGCCTTTTGCACTTTCGGAAATAAATGGTGCTGGATTTTAGAGTTTCGCCCGGTTTTCCTGTGAACACATGGCGTGGCGAGAGCCGGGACGGCGCAACAGGCTGACCGCGCCGCGCTGCCCCCATGGGACGCGTCCCCCGCCGAGGTCCCAGTAGAGAAAAACCCCGAGGTCTGAGGTGCCCAGCCACGGCGCTGGGCGTCCAGGCTCTCCTGCTGGAAGGGAGAACTCGGGCTGAGCGCGTCCCGTGTGAGCCAGTGTCCCTGCAGAGCCCGGTTCCCGGCCAATCCCTGGGGGTGGGGGAGGGGACTCCGGGACAGGGTTACAGGCCCGGCGCGCGGCCGAAACTGAGAAGCCAGGCCACAGCTCCTTCGGGAGCGTTTCCGAGCGTGCTGGGCTTTGGGGAGCCTTACTGCTTTTAGTCCGCAAGAGAGCCCCCCGAGCCCCATTTCACAGGTCAGGAAACCGAGGCTCCGGGGTCTAAGTGCCCGGCCTGAAGCCCCGAAGCAGAGGGGGCAGAGCTGTCACTGGAGCCTGAGCCTCGGATAGATTTTGTTTTTAAAAGTCCTGTGTGTTTTATGCTTGTGCAAAAGTACATCCGCTTCTGAAAGCGACATGGCACACAGGAGTCCACCCCAGAGCCCAGAACAGACGCTGGCAGGCCCGGAGCCCAGAACCTGACGCTCCAGGGGGGTTGCTCAGTCCAGGGACACAAGGCCTTTAAGATTAATGCCTTATATTGACCCAGCCACGGTGGATATTTATTTTTTTTATACTTAAACACATTTATTTTGGGAAGAAACTTTGGTAGCCATGAAATCATGAGTTGGATATGGTAGTTATGTTCACTGTAATTAAAATAGAAAAGCAGCCCGCTGCTAAGGTCACCTGTTGCCTATCGCTGTGGTCTGTATGGCTTTTGGGGCCGCATCGGGGCAGTTAAAATGGTTTTCGTTTGTGGAATGGGAAACCAGAGCTGGGATGGCTCACGGCAAATAATTTTCCAGAGCTCTGTGTGGTGGTGGCTGGCATGATCAGAACCCAGGGCAGGTCCGGCCGCTAAGAGCTGGCTCAGAACTTTCAGTTTTGATGACCTAGTTGGGACAGAGACTTTACAAGCTGCAAAAAGCAAAGTGGTGGTTGCAGAAAGCATCAGCCTACCTTCAGCTTCATCTTGGACCTGTAGAAATTCTTCGCCGGTCTGGAGGATAAGATTAGAGTGTGCACTGAGGAACCCTTATCGTTGGAATTCTGTCCAACTGGAGCTGCAGTGGAGAGAAGCCCTCCTGGGCAGCAGATCACAGCTGAGCCTGTGTGGGGTGGGTGCCTGCCCCTCAGAACCAGAGCTGAGCACAGGGCAGACTGGGTCCCGGCTGTGCATCTATTTACATGTTGGCTGCGCCATTCTTGCTTGGTAAACCCATGTGGGAGTTGCATGGGCTTAGAAGAAGGAAATGTTTGCCTTGTCCTTCACTTAATCAGTCATGTGTTCAAAATTTAACTTTTCTGCTACTGGAGGTTTTTTTTTCTTTTTTCTTTTTTTTTTAAATCTGTCTTATTTTTTGCTAAGTTGCAAATGGCCCCCTCTCCCGTCTCTCGTGGATTTGATAATCCAGCTGGGTTAGAGACTTCATAGTATATAAAAACCAAACTCCTGCTCCAATAAAGGCACCTATTGTACCCTTGGCTTCATCACAGAGTGGTAGAAATTCTTGGTTTCTTAGGAATTTTTTCAGGTGAAACCATAAGGTGCTGATTTTAGGCCTTCCTTCTTTTCTAATGCAAACATTTAACGCTAGATGTTTCCCTCTAAGTCTTGCTTTGGCTCCATCCCAAGGATCCGGACGAGGTAGTAATTCGTTTCTGCTGAAGCCCAGCTTAGAAGTAGGGGAGCCTGTGGAAGAGATCAAAACAGTCAAGCAGCCCAACAGGGCTGGCGAAAGGTCCTGTGGCCTTGGGATGCCTTCTCCAGGCTCTGCGTGGCATGTGCGTGGCCCAGTGTGGTCAGAAATCTCCGCGGCTCGGGGCTGCAGCTTTGCAAGACTGCTGACGATTGGGAGATTTCCCTTTTTCTCATCCTGGAGTAGTGTTATTTTTCAGCCACTCACTTTATGCGTGGATTGTGGGTAGGTTTTCCTTTATGGCTGCCACTGGGACATAATACCCTGCACCCACAGCGTAGAGGGGGAGAGGCTTGTGTGACCTACAGTTTCAGTTGATGGTCAGCCGGCTCCTAGGCAGACCCAGCGCAGCAGAGGGGGCTGGGCGGAGGAGAGCTGCTCACTGTGCCTTGGTCAGGAAGCAGAGAGAGAGGGCAGAGCTGGGAAGAAGATGGACCCTTGCAGGCCACAGCCCTGGTGACCGCCTCTTCCGACCAGGACCAGCCCCACCTCCTCACAGCGGGTCAGCTCCCAGCCTATGCCTGTGTGAGGCTCCAGGGACATCAGATAACAACCATGGCTGTGCCTCTGCTGGGTTAGAGGCCCGGCCGTGCATAGGAACCAAACTCCTGCATTTGAGGAGCTTGTTATTGCGCTGGGCCTTTGCGAAACAGGCCCCAGAAAGGAATTGCTGAAAAGGAGCTCCCATGAGCCTCCCCTTCTTTGTTGGATCAAGGTGGTGGCCGGTACTGACAGTTCTGCGAGGCCTGCTGCCTCAGTTGGCTTCTCAGTTCTGTTGTTTATTGGCGTGGCGGGCCCACACAGGCCCACCAGCCTCATGCGTAGAATGGGACTGAGAAGAATGTTTCTGAGCAAGGGTTGTCCTGAAAGAACTGACCTACAGTCTTTTTGGGCCAGGGTCACTGTTCATATGCAGTTAGTGTGGCCTTTTGAGCTCCTCCCAGGCAGGACGTGCAGAGCAGAGGGTGGCCATGGACCTTGGGCTGCTCCTGGCTGGAGGCCCTTTGACAGGACTGTAGTGCTGCAGGCCTAACAGATCAGCTCCCCATGGCCTACAGCAAGAGACGCAGAGAGCCCCTGATGCGCACACGTGGCGAGCCCTGGTCTGCAGTGTGCAGAGCCCCTGGTGCTGACCCTTAGGTCCCTGAGGCTGATGTCCGGACTCCACAGCAGCGTTTGTTTCCATGGGGGCTGAGATGAGCATGGGCCGCTCCTCCTGGCCCTGCTGCTGCTGGTGGTTGTGCCTGCCAGGAGTGTCCGTCCCCGAAGCCCTCAGCATGGTGTGCGCTGGGTAAATGGCCTGGTGCTGGCAGCCACTGTCTCCACTTTTGACCTGGAGGCTCCTGAAGTGCAGTGCATGTGGCTGTTACTGTCACCGAGTGAATGCAGAGTTAGGGGATTTTGGGGCGCAGCTGCTCACTGGCGTCTGTCCATCTGCCTGGCCCCACCTGTGAGCTGCCAGCTAGGGAGAGCCTTGAAAGTGCCCCAGGGCCCTGCTCCCGCTCTGGCATGTGGGCGCCACCAGGGACATCAGGGCTGCACCACGCAAACTGCATGTCCTTGTTTCCTGTGAGCAGGGCCCCTGGGGACAGAGCCCAGGGCCTTGGCTTGTGCTAGCACCTAATAGTCACATGCTAGGCCCCTCTAGAACTGTTCATTTTGGCCTTGGAAGGGCATGCCATCCACCTTAAACCTCCTCCATGGCTGTAGAATGCCACACACCTCATCCTCCGTGGGCATCTCTAATGTGAAAGTCAGAGATCCTAAAGGCTCCTGAGTTGAGAGCTTTGGGCCTCAACTTGATGGCTTAAGTGGAATTTTTTTTTTTTTTTTTTTTTTTTTTTTTTTTTTTTTG